ATTCTTTACGATCAATTTTCAGGCATTCAATCCGGTTTCAGTTCGCTGGGGCTCGGTTAATTATATCAATTTAACAAAGAGGCCTGGCGGAGAGCTTTCCCTCACACACCTGGTGCGGTGAACTTTTTGAACATCCATACACGCGGAAAAAGAATATTTAATAAAAATAAATAAACGTAGATATTAAGTAACCTGTTTTCTCTTAAATATTTTAACTCCCTTACAAAGCATGTAGTAATTCAGATGCGTCAAAATATTTTTAAAAAATTGATTGTTATTTTAAAATATCAAGTATGTGAATTTCGCTGCTGACCAATTTTGTGTACTTGTTCGCCGTGTGTGAGTATGGATGTGTGGGTTTCTCCCTTGGTTTATTTGCATTTTAATATGCCTCGTATTTTATGGGGCTTTCATATTGTTGTAGGTATTTATAATACATACTTTCCCCTTAAGCCGCATTTGTGTAATGAAACGGAAGGGATTACCGCTGGCCGCCGACTGTCGGTTGCCCCGCAACCCGCAATCAGCAATCCTTGGGCCTATTGGTACGGGAACCAGCCGCATATCACCCAAAAACCCACACTTAACCCTTAACCCTCCGCTATCCTTTGGCCCGAAGTTTAACGAAATTGAAACACATTTGCCTGACAGTTGCCATCAGCTTGGCTTCAATTTGATGTCAGCATTATTGACTGATCCTGGGGGCCCAGCAGCAGAAGCAGGGCTTCTGTGCCGTCTGTTTCGTCTGGATATCGCATATACATATGTTTACCCAAGGCTGAAACACTTCAAGTTGCCTAGTTAAAGTTAAGTGCTCGTGCGCGGGGGCATGGAGAAACGGGGCGTGGCCCTGCTCAATCATATTTCACATTCGCCACTTGTCAGCTTTTATCTCGTTTTCGTCATCCCAAGAAGTGCCCATCTTATTTCAGAGTCCCCCGCCTCCAGTCGGTTGTCATAATTTCATTATTTGCTGCGTTCAGGCATAAAAAAAGGGATATTGTCTGGCTGCCTGTTGTGTGTGAGTGTGTAAGTGTATGTGTGGGCGGGTTGTCATGAGCACGATGATGCTCGCTTGTCCTTTACGTCGATGTCTGCACACGCATTTATTCCTCAGCTTCTGTGGCAGTCGGTGGCCATCGCAGGATGACAGAGAATGTCTATACAAACAGCAGACAGGACGACAGGCAGACAGATAGATGGGCAGCCAAACGCTGATACGCGCACACACTGCAACAAAAAAGTGTGAATGAATAAATTAAAGTCGAATCTAATTCTTAGATAGTCCCTGGGTTGCTAGCTTATAATTGAAAGTTAAAATTAAATTTTAACTAAAGTCGGTTGACAATATTCATACAGAATGCAAAGTACTCATCCAAATTTTATTTTTATTTTGAAACCCAAAATAATAAGAATAAACCCCTTTATTTTTCAAGTGCAGACTGGCATGTGTCGTCCTTTTTCAGCCAGTTGACTGACTGACGCGATTGCCACGTGCCTTAAGTTATGAGAAGCGATGGCCAGCAAGTTCGATGGCAGAGGGTCCATCGTCCGGCCGAAACTTCAATTTTAATTGGATAATTACTCATCCAATCCAGAATTAAATCCCGCCTGAAATTGATGCACCGCACCGGGGTGGTTAATGTGGGAAATCGGGGGAGGTTTCCTGCGAGCAGCCTTATTCAATGCTCCCTTTGAACCTTCAAAGTCTGCGGCTCAAGTGGCTGACTGGCATTTTCCCCCATTGCCCTCGGAAAACTGCATCGCAATGGTTTCCAAATAGATGCATCTCAAAGTGCAGGCCATAAAAGATTGCAACTTGTTGGTGGTACACGCACAAAACCGCTTCAACAGACCATTCACAAACGTACGAGATATACAGATGACATCCGGAATGTGCTGAAATTGAAAGCCGAATAGGGGAAAGTTGTTGCCAAAAGGGTTAACTGCCGATGGACTGCCAAATGGCTTTCCATTCACAAGTCCCAGGCATTAAATGTTCTCCAAATCGATGCAGTTCCATGCAAATGATCCTTCAATACGAGTAGTTTTCGAGCAGACAGCATCGAAAGGGGGATATTATAAGGGAGATACAGCTCGCATTGCTTTGTCCAACTTTGGCAGAGTTCCTCAACCGAGCTCAGTCATGTTCCACAACATCAGAGAGTGTTTTTGCGGACAATTGACATGGCAACCGGTCCGAAGAGCTCACGAGATCCCTGAACAAACAATCAGACGCGGCTAAGTGCTGCAATATTTGTACTGTGAATGTACACAGAGGGAAATATGGAGTCATTTATTAAAAAGGTTATTATTTATGCTTTAATCATTTTAAAGTTTTAACTTTGTCTGTATAGTACACTTAAACTTTTTTCCTCTTCCATTAGATTAGTAACTAAGCTATTTATTTTTGTCTAGGACTTATTTCGCAGTGCATTTTTCCGAGGGGAGAAGTGGAAAATGTTTCCGTTGAAGCTGCGAGCACCGAAGCATAAATTCAATATTTTCATCTTTTATGCGCTCCGGCGAGTTTTCCGCTAGGATTTCAAAGGCAACGGATCCTTCGCCATGGCAGCCTGCGAATCCCAATCGAAATCCCACTGTCTGCCGCCCGTTGATTAGAATCAACATAAATAAAATTAATTGTTGCCGGTTGAGTCGTCGGGGGTTGCATTCAATTTGATTATTAGCTCAATCCAAAACGAACCGGAAACCGAGGGCGGTCCCCTTTTTGGTCCGACTACTTATTTTGATTTTGTCGTTGGCTAATTTTCCTGTGGTCGAAGACCGAATCCCTTGGGCACTCGCTTGAATGGCACAAAATAATTATAATTTATTTACAGCGCCGTCTGTCTGTCTGTCTGCCTGAAAGTTTGAATGTCGCTCTGTTTGCTGCTTAATTGCCAACTTCTACTGTGAAAACGGTTTCGGGGAGTCGTCAAAAAAGCCCAGCCATAAATTGTGTGCAATTGTTTCCTGAACTCGGGGCCATTGCATCAGGAAATTAAACTGCGATTCGCCCTCTGTTTCTGACTGCCAGGCTCATCTGCATGCGCCCGGCGAAATATGCAAAAATGCCACGCCTCCCGCAATGACACTGAGAAAAAATTTGGGGGCACATACTAAAGATTGCGAAACCAATTATATTTTATGAATAGACTTCCAATAAAATTAAAATTTTTTATTATAATTTGTTATATTCACTACTTTTTACTTGATTTGGTTGTCTGGTTTTTCTCTGTGCACCCATTAAAAGTCCTTAGGCTTCCACGCCGCAGTCCAAAATCATAAATTACACATAAAGTGACCCAACAGCGAATGTCGTATTTCGTATTATGCAAAATTTCAGCTACAGAGTTCGGGACTAAAAATTTAATTTCTGAAGAGGGACAGCGCACAAGACAATGAATGAATCGATAATTTATAAATACCCAAATGATCGTGGCTTAGTCAACAAAAGCAGTACTCATTTTGCAAAATTCGTAATCACCAAGGGGCGAAGGGTTCAAAAATGCATAAAACCAAGCAGAGAGCAACGAAAGCCGAAAACTGAATCCCGAGAACCGAAAACCGAGAACCGACCCATTTGCTGGATGGGGCAAGTGGTGACCCCACTCGAAATGCAGTCGTCGTTGTGGCAACCAGTTGAGTTGCAACTGCCACTGCCAATGCCATGGCTAATGGCTGGGTTTTTGGCTTTGGCTTTGGCATTGGCACTGGAATCGTTTGGGTTTTCAGCATGATTTCTCAATTGATTGCAAGTGGCGGGGCCAGAATCAGAATCAGAATCGAAATAGGAGTTGAAGTTGGAGCCCTGTCATGCCTAATGCTTATTACCAGCACTCGGACGCTTTGCAATTTATGCAGATCCAAATGCAGATGCAGCTGGCAAAGCTGCTTACTTTTGGTTCGTTGGAATCTTGGCCAACTGCCCGCTGGTCAGTCGATTTGTTGTTTCTATAATTTTAATTGGAGCTCCGTCCGCAGAGGTAGCCCGGGCATTTTTGGCAATTTCCAAAACAAATATTGCTCGAATGGATCTGCTCCGGCATGCATGAAGTGCCCGACCACCTCCGGTCCTTACTCAGGTGACCAGCTGGGCCACCTACCAAATAGTTTAGACCATGAAATTGCTTTCAACACTGCCAACTGACACACAGTGCGTGGGGATTTTATAATGGAGGTATATGGGGGAGTGGGGGCGAACAAACTGTGAGCACTGCTCCGTAAACATGTTATGTAATTAAAATGCCTGGCAGATATTTTGCCCAAACATTTTGCGGCTGCTTTTCGCTTTTGTGTGCCAAAAATATTCCTTTCCAAATAACTTGAGCTCCTCTTTTATGAGCAGCTCGCAGCCTGAACTTTCTCAATGGAATGCCCCAAATTCTGGCAAGCTTTCACCACTTTTCCTTCGTCTTGGTATATGCACTCATACAGGGAAAAAAACTGCAGTGTCTACGCATTATATGTTTTTATGACCCACTTCAACAAGGGCCAGACATTCAAGCTCATAAATTTAGCATAAATCTTATTATTATGTAATCAAATAAACGACAGTTTGTATAACAAACAAACAAATTAAAGATATTGAATTTTAAATGCATTCGGAATTACTTTGCTGAATATTTATTGTAGCAGCAAAACAATACGTCAATTACTTTGCATATGATTTTATTAAACTTTTTAATTTTAAACCTCATTTATATTTAAAGGAGAATAATCGCCAATTAAACTTTATTGTTCAACAGCGAATAAAAATATTATACAATTATTATATTAATTCATTCGAGGACTTTAAAATTACAATTACATTTCACTCGTCAATGGTCACTAAAAGTGAATATAAATTCATATAACGCAGGTTTTATTGAAAAACTTTAATGAATCGTACTGAAAGTCTTTGCTAACAGACCTTTCCATTGAAAAAAAACTGAATTTTTGATTTTTTTTTTGTGCACCCTGACATTAACATTTCATGTTTTATTTATTTCTTGCAGACGTCACAAATCGCGACTACGTAAAGGTGAATGCCGAGGCGGGCAAAAACGTGACCATTCCGTGTCCGGGGGTCAACGAGCACTCGCTAGTGGACACACTCGTGTGGAAAACGGCGTCCACCACAATCGCGCAGTTCGCCAATCGGATACCCCTGCTGCACAGTCCAAGGGTAAGTACAAAAAATGACCTTATGTACTGACAAAAATGTCACTCAAAACTATTAATAAATGCTTCTAAAATCGTCTAGCCAATATAAAGAAAATGGTTTTTCAACATCTTCATTTCTAGAATAAAATAAGTCTTAAAAAATATTGGTTTTTGTGAAATTTGTCTACCTTTATTCATTTTTTAATATAAATTACCATTAAATTTCTGTCTAAAAATTTGTTGGTAAAATATCTTCAATCGAATTTATTTATTCAAGACTCAAGCTTCATTCTCCTTCTTGCCGTTTTCCCTCAAAAATGGCCCTCCAGTGTCATATCAGAATTCATTTCAACACTCAGCACAGCTCCTCCCGGACAGGCGAACACCCCCAATATATAGGGCCCTTCCTGGGCGCAAAAACGAAGCTGTTAAAATAATTGATGGCCGGTTGCCGGGCGGCTGTTTGAACTTTGCCCTCCGCCGTCGACAGCGGCGATGAGTACAAGAAAGTGCAGCGAAAGTCCCGACAACTAAGTGGCCGCCAATGGAGGACAGAGGGGAGATCGGGGTCACCAAGTGCAGTGCAGCCGGCGCGGCTAATATATTTTAAATGCTTGATAGTTGCACTAAAACAAAAGCGACATGGCGCAAAAAAATGTTCAAGTGGCTGCCAGATGGCAGAAAAAGATGGAGCCTTGAGGAACAAAGCGGGCCGAAAGTGATTGCAATGGCCTTAAACGCACTCGGGGGGCCATTGAGGCGGCGCAAACAGAATGATGAAGTTGCCCCTTCGTTGGGAACAAGATGATGGAGAATCCCGAGATGTCTGCACTTTGAGAAAATAAATCTGTGAGGGAAATACTAGTACAAATCAAGATTTAAGGTTGTTTCCTTGACTGCGCTTTATGGCAGGAGACTAGATAAGATGTCCTTTTCCTTGGATCCGAAAACTTTACACGCTTACTAAACAGTAGGGTGTTAGGACAATATTATACCATTGAGATTGAATAAAGTTCTAGTTAGCAAGACTCTGTTGTCCCACAAATCGCTAAGCAATGTAAACTGAAAAACTTTAATAAGGAAAGACGTCGAACCTTTTGTAGACCAATAAATTATAACTGGAAGGTGTTTTCAGTCAGATAGAGTCTAACATGAAATTGAGAAAGTAAATGTTCGCGAAACAGCAATTTAACTCAAAGTCAAAACTTAACACTACTTTGAGAAATTGATCATAAATAAGTACACGTATTTGAATTCCGGCGATTTAGAAAGCCTTAGCTTCAGTCTTAATTGTCAAAGAAAAAGGGTTATATTTTGGAATATTATTAACATTGGAACCACATTTTTTTCAGTGTAGAAATAAGATTGTACTCTAGCTGCAGGAGAGGGCTAGCCAGCTATGTGTTAAATGGCAGACTGGGACACTTGAGCTGCAGCCAAAGTTGGTCCCAATCCGGCTTCGCTGCTCGGTTCGCATTTCTTGGGCCGAAGTTTCCTGCAAGTGCGGCGGCTGCTTCTTGGCCCGGCTATTATGTGTATTAAAAGTTTTTCACCTTGGCACAGTAGCTGCTTCATTTTATTACAGCTGACACATGACCCCTCGCACACTCACACACACACACATACACACGCACACAAAGAGCCCGAGGACCCTGTTGAGCTATTAACTTTTGTTTTATGGCCGAGACTAGAAATGATTCATGTTTGCCCAAGCCAAGCGGACTAAGGAGATCCACTTGCCCGAAGGACGAGGGATTTGCCTCTACAAGTTTCTCTTATTTTACCCTTTTTTTATCCGGATTTTCTGGTCATGTAAGGCCAAAAGGGCGATGAATGTAATTAGAGTTTACTGGAAAATCGCATAGAAAATTAAAAATTCCACATGGTAAATTTCTGGCAAATATTTTCCAGGGGCCTGTCTAATAATGCACGTCGACCAACAATTCGGCAGAGAGCAATCGACTGAAACCCATATAGAAACTAATTCTGTAATTTGAGGCCATGCATGCGTCAAAAGACACAAAAGTAAATAACCAGGTCAGACATGCGAGGATAGGCCAGATACTCTCTTAGAAGATGGATTGCTGGCCATGTGGATGAAATAATTAGGTTTCGAAACAGACATACATTCTCCAAAAATACATTTTGCAGTATCGCAGTAATCTATGATGAAAATCCATACTAAGGCTCAGTTCTCCCTAAGAGTCAGGTATGCTTGCAGTTGCATTGAAATTACTTTCGGCTACATGCAATTTCCAAATTTTCTGCAAATCAGAAGAGAAAAACAATTCTTGAATGAATTCACTATCAATGCATCTGGCTTTATGCTCTTGTTAGGCAAGACACATAGTTCAAATATGAGTCAGATAGCTGAATTTGTGTGCAACACAAATTTGCCTGATACAGGAAAAACTTTTGGGCTGGGTCGATGACAGAGTTGGAGTGTTTTTTTGTTGTTTTGTTGGGCCGAGCTTTTTAAGGTTTCCTTCATATTTAAAAGTTTTCCCTGCTGAAAGTGGAAACTCATGTTGGTGGACATGAACGTTGTCAAGCCTTAAATATCTATATTTAGAATTTTCAGACCAACGGAGTTATAATTAACTTCCCTCATCTTGTTGCAGATACAACTTTTATCGGACAACTTTGGCCTGCAGTTTTCGCCCTCTTTAGCGAGTGATACATCGGAATATATATGCCTCGTTAACGATCGGCATATACCAGAAGCCATCGTGGATTTATTAGTCCAGGGTGAGTTTTTTATATCCTTATAAAAACGCTAAAGAAAATCTCGAGTTGCTATACATTGCTATTATTTTAAAAATACTTATATTTTTTCTAAAAATACAATTATTTTTTTTGAATACATTTTTGAAACTATTTTATAACAATCAACAGATATGTTTACGACACGGAAACCCATCTTATACCTTTTCAATTTACATTCTCAAGGAACTGCGATTGCTTTCATTTAAAATATTTCTCTTCACGTTTACTCACTTGCTTTCTTAATGAAACGCTTAACTGTTTTAATGATTTTCCCGGTTTACTTGGCCAACATCCGCCGTCCCCAGATTTCATTTACCGATATGTCTTCGTTCCCTGATATCCTCCCCCTTTTGCTTCGATTCCACACTCTTGTTTTCATTCTTGTCGCCCTCGCCTTGACATGATTTCCATTTGCATTCCACTGATAGCTGGCACTTTTCTCGTTTCTTCCCTGCAGATGTGCCCGATCCGCCGGAGCGACCATTGTTGATAAGTTTCACATCACGCTCCGTGAATTTATCCTGGGCGCACTCGCAGCACCCGCGGAATGCGCCCGTCACCCATTTTATTATTGAAACGCGGTAAGTGTTGCCACGAAGAAGAATGTACTTTAAGTAGATTTGCAAAATATAGATTTAAAAAAGCCAAGACCCATATAACTGAAAAGAATCGCAAAGCCAAAGGCTGAGTTAATTAATTTGAACATAATGACATAAATAAAAAAACATTACACATTTACATTGGTATTTCGATATGAAAAATATTAATATTAAATATTTTATAAAATACAACTTGGCTTATACTTACAGTACTACTACAGTTATTACAGATATCCTTCACTAAAATGCATAATTAATATAATTAAAAATGTATTAATAAATAAGCTAAGATAATATTAAATATATTGCTAAGATAATTTCTTATGAACTAATAAGAATTATTAGCGGTTGCACTTAATCATAACCTAAATTGTACTTAATAATATAAACTTAAGTTATTTTAAAATGCTGATATTTATCGACTGTTCTAGTTTCAAATTAAAATAAACTTATAAACTTAAAACTAGCTACTTGACCAGCTCTCTCTCACCAGAGTGGGATGTTTTAAGCTGATGAACTGCCCGTGGGTGGGTGCTTGGGGTGATGGGTGGGTGGGTTGTTGGATCAGTGGGTGGCGAAGGGCGTTGAAGAGCTGTCTGTGGCGATGATGGACGCGCGGCCATGATTGACACATGCAAAGGCGCTTTGCCAAAGGATGCAAACTGCGGCTGACCCCATTGCGCTAATGAATTAGCTAGCAAAGCGAAACGCTGGATGCACATCATTGCCGTAATGCGCCCATCAGCGTCATTGGGATGCTAAGCAGCTGGCCTCGCCCACACCTTTCACTTGGTCTCGCCCACCTGATATCCCCATCTGCAGGCCGAACGCATTCAATTAAATTCATTCGTTTACTGGTAGCTTAAAGGTACAAGTGAGGCCGAAATATGAAACCTTGATATTCATAGCTGGGAAAAAAAGTTTAAGTTGTTCTTTTTTAACATATACTCTTACTCAAAATATGAAATTGATATTGGTATGGTAAATAATTTATAAAATACAGGTGCTGAACTTAATTAAATTAAATTAAGACTACAAATGCATTGTTAAGCACAAGTAGTTAATCCCTAAGACATTAATTAATGCCAATTAACTAATTCAACTAAGATAATACTTATATTTGGCATCACGATCCTATAATTTTGGCTGCCACTGTGAATCTCGGACCGCAAATTCCGCCCATTGGTCCGGCAGTACTTTAATTAATATGTAAAAGGATGACGACGACATGCATGACTACGGGGATACGCACTTCACTTGTGCTCCATTTAAATAGAAAAGAAAACACGGGCGCGCGTATAAAGCCATCTGTGCATCAGTGTGTGTGTGGGTGTGTGAGTGGGGGGCGGGAGACTTTCCGGGTTATGTCGAGCACATACACCCATACATACACCCATACGTCTGGCATTGTACGGCACTGGCTATTTTCCGAATAACTTGAACTCAATGCGGGGCATGAAATAAAAAGCGAGCGCCGCCAACGCGGTACAAAGGCCAAGCGAAAATGTGGAAAAAATACCAAAAAGCGAAACTTTTTCAATAAATTTCCATCAACTGCAGTAGAAGCCGGGGAGAGGGGTGGGGTGGCGGTGGCGGCCAGGGCGTGTCCTCGACAAGACACTGGGATCCCGGCACAATCGATGACAGCCAACTGGAAAGCAGAGCCTGCGGTGCATTTATGCAAAATAAGAAATAACTGCACCCACACAAACACCGAACAAGTGAAGGAAATGTGAACACGCGCCGCCGCCTGCCAAGTGCACGTACACTTAGAGAAACTTTATGAATTCTCTGAAAACTTTTTATTAAATGACCAGTCTCAGTGTTATGGAATATTTCGAAAAAGTTGAATGCGAATATCAATATTATCCAACTACATTTTCAAGTTGTAATATGATTTAATTACTTAAAAAAATGTAAGTCAAAAGTGACTTTGCATATACAAACACAAGTCTTAAGAAAATTATTGCATAAGGAATAATTAAAAAGAATTCATTTGTAAAATAGTTAATAACTTTTGGGATAACAAGTTGCAAAGCCAAGAAACTATATTATTTAATTGTCCATTTAATGGGGTATTTTAAGAGAAAAGATATAGAGGCTATGTCAGCAAAATCGAGTAAATACTTATGAGCCATTTTTATTGAAATCTAGAGAAGATTGGGAAATGTCAGCATACAAGTTGTAGATGAATTTTTAAAAGGCCTTTGCAGATAAAATTAATTTAATTAGGAAAACAGTAACTTATGCTCTTAGTGTATGCACAGCTCATACGCAGCATAGCATACTTTTTTGGGCAAAGCGTACACAAAATGAAGCTGCCCCAGCGCCATCTCATTCTGCAGCGCGGTAGAGCTGCAGACTGCATTTTATGCAAATTCCCATCGACATGGGAGGGAGTTCAGTTCTTGATGCTGTCGAGGACCCCCCTTCCTTTATTCACAACGCCTCTTATTTACATTTTCGCTTGATTCGGTTTATTTGCGCATATGAAAAAGGGGAGGGGTGGGCGAGAGTTCAATATGCACATGAGCTCCCATCGAAATTGAAAGACGCCAACGTCGACGAGCTGCAGATGATGATGATGGGGACATCCTTACGCTGGATTTTCCGGCTTGCTCCCATGCAATTGAAATGGGCTGAGTTGCCCCGCCAAGCGTTAAGTCTATCCATAAATTGCTGCCCCCTCAACTGTTGCACAGCAGGCAGGCAGGATAATGTCATCAGTTGGCGGATGTGTGTGCAAATACTCGTACATACTCGTATGCATTGATGTTTTGTATTTCGAATATTTCACTGGCATAACTTTCGGTCAACCGAAAACTGGGCCAAACTTTGCGGCTTACCACTCCACAGATGACATGTTTATCAACTGCTGTGGATACTGTTGCTCGATTCCATTCACCAAAACAGAAATAGTGCGGCAAAAAAAGTGTCCATATCATTATGCGATGTCCACTGATGATTCAGTTATTTCTTTTGGCCCGGAAACTCACCCAGCTGCATTTTCCGTCACTTGATTTTTGCATGTTTGTTCAGTTTTTTTTTTAGCAGTACACCGAATAAAATTAATTAAATCCTGCGCTTATGAAAACATTTTCATTTGCTAGTTATTTTTTCTTTACTTTTCACATTATGTAAAATACGTTTAAAGGCATAATGAACTGGGAAAGTTAATAAAAACACTTATAATTGGAAGAAGTAAAAAACAACACCGCAATTGGGTTATTTGAAATATTCATGAATTCTCTGGTGATTGAAAATTGTTTATTAAGATGCGTAAACATGTGTACACCTTTTTTTTAGGATGTCACTGCACATTTAAAGTTGTTTTTAACAATATATTTTAAGCTACTGTGAAACTTATGGAAAGAACGTTTGAAACACAATTTTATTTAATAAGGAATTGTTATTTATTACAAAGTTAAAAAAACTTAAAATTACAGTATTTTTCCGTAATATTTAAAAAACGAAACACTTATAATATGACAATAAAATATATATTTAACAGTCCTCTCTTCTTGCCAAAAATTTGGGCACAAATTGTGGGTTTTTAACCATGTTCCTGACTTATCTACTGAGACCCTCGACCACTATTTGTCCATTATCTTTAAGGACTCGTGCCGAAAGTAAATTGTCCTGTTTCAACAACTCGTGCATGAACCTTGGCCCACAGCCCTCGGCCGTATAGAAGCGATACCCATGGAAAGCAAACACAAACTCTCCCAGATGCATAAATAACTCATATTCATTTGCTTAATATGGAAAAAAGTGAGCAAACATTTTTAAAGCAGCTTACGAGTGGGGAAAAACAACATCAGTGGAATAACAGCAAAAAGCATCCAATACATGTCCGTGGAAAGGCCGCAAATTTATTTGCCATTGTGGTTACTTTGCCCACGCCGGCGGAGAATCACTCCCTTTTGATTTTTTTGGACCCGGGGTTTCAGGTCCAGGTCCAGAGCATTTTTCATATGTTTTTCATTCGGGCCAGATGATGGGAGGCCGCTCGCTGCCATGCTTCATAAAGTCGCCAAACAATTTTTTTATCGAATGCAACGTGTCCGCAGGCCCCATGTCCCGATGGCCCCGATACGGGGATATATATGTATATATATATGTATATGCACTACATGCACTCACTAAATGCCCATTGCCAACGCAAACAGATGTGCTCCTCTCAACGCGGAAGCTGCTCGCACGCATTTATTAATTTTAATCATTTTTTTGACACAATTTCCGATGGCCGTTTTTTCGGGTGCCTTTTATTGGTTGTCGCCATTCATGAAATGTTGAACATTTTTCATCGGCTCATATTTAAACAATTTTTAATCACACCATAAAAGCCGCACCGAATCGGTAAGCCCCATTAAAATCAAACTTTAGATGGGGTTCGCCGGGCGCAAAATTTATGCAGGACCCAAAAACAGAATGTGCCAAAAAATATGCTAAAATTATGTGAGTTTAAACCAAAATTTACTACACTTTGAAATGTGCCATGAAAAATGTTCATTGTGCGAGCGGCTGCGAGTAATTTATATGCACACCAACAACAATATCGGCGGAATACAAATATTTCTTTTTTTTGGGCGCAAACGTAGGTGGGTGAACGGCAGAAAGTGGCATAAATATTTTAGTGCCTATGTGCGGGACACATTTCAGGAACGGTTCCCAAAAGGACCCAACCACCCGCAAGTGTCATGCAAATCCGCATCCGTTTTATATAAATTTTCATAATGCATTTTATGCCCATGGTTTATGTATATTGGAACCGCTCTGTCCCCTTTTCCTCACCGCCGGCAGACTGCAGCCGTAAAATATAGATCTCTGAGTTTATTTATATGGACGTGCTTGTGTGCGGCAATCGAGCTGGTAATTGCAATATAAATGCACAATAATGAAATGATTCGTTCAAATAATTTGGCCGAATCAAAATGTTTTGTTTGCTCTCATCCCTTTTGCTCGATTAATTGTTCATTGAATTTTCCCCCTGAATGAGTCATCAACATACACTTAAAATTAATGGGGTCAATAAGCCATTGAAATTCGAAATCGAATAATATAAGGTTGAGTTATTCTGTTATTTCATATTAAGTTAACCGTGCGCTGTAATAACTGAAAATATTTTATAAACAAGAAAGGAAAGCTAACTTCGGGCGGAGCCGAAGTTGATATACCCTTGCAGAACATTCCATAAATTATATTCTCCAAAATTATTCTATGATGCATTCTTAATACTCATAAAAGTCCCAACTTCCTAACTTTAAAACACCAACGTTATGCATTTCCAATCGTTTAGTTATATGGCAGCTATAAGATATAGTCGGCCGATCCTTATGAAATTTGGAGGTTGGATTGATTGGCCAAAATAAAACCCATGAAAATCCCAACTTCCTAACTTTACAAACACCAAAGTTATGGCATTTCCGATCAATCAGTTATATGGCGGCTATAGGATATAGTAGTCCGATCCTTATGAAATCCGGTGGTCGGATTGATTAGCCAAAATAAAACCCATAGAAAATCTCACTTCCTAACTTTAAAACACCAAGTTTGGCTTTTCCGATCGTTCGTTATATGGCAGCTTATGATATAGTCGCCCGATCCGGCTCGTTCCGACTTATATACTACCTGCATAGAAAGACAACTTTTGGAGTTTCGCAGATAGCTTTAAAACTGAGGGACTGTTTGCGTAGAAACGGACGGACGGACGGACAGACGGACGGACAGACGGACGCGGACAGACGGACTGGCTATCGACTCTCCTGGTGATGCTGATCGAATATATATACTTTATAGGTCAATGTCTCCTTCCTGTTGCCTTTGACTGAATTATTCTCTGGTATAAATATGTTGTATAATAAAATATTATAATGATAACAGAATCAACTGTCTATTTAAACAAAATTGAAAACTATAAATACTTTATAAAAAGGACCTCCTAGCTAATCAATAAAAATACATGTGATGACATAATTGACCTCTAAAATTAGTTAAAACAAAGATAGAGCCCCATTTCCAAGTGTGCTAATTTGATGATTGCTTTATCCTTTTCAGGGAGGGCGAGGACGGCATTTGGGAGCAGCTGGCCAGGATCTACACTAAAACGAATGCGACGTCATATCAGGTGACCGGGCTGACGCCCTTCACCGTCTACAGCTTTCGTCTCCTGGCGGTCAACAAGCTGGGAATCAGTCCGCCGTCCAAGGAGTCCTACTACATAGTCACGCTGCGTGAGGGTGAGTCCTTTGCCAGGGTCCTCTGCGCTTACACACTTTATTGGCGGCAGGATCATAAACTATTCGCGTAGGCGGTTCACATAACATAACGTAACATATAGCCCGGAGTAAAGTTACGCGACACATGACATAACAATTTTTACAATCGCATTAATTTTTCATTTCAATTCCAACGACTTGGCCTGACTTTTAAGTGCCGTCGATGAAAAGTTGTCACAACCTCGCCCGGTTTGTCACCCACTCCCAGTTTTTCCCACAACTGCCAGCAATTACGGCCTCATAAAGCCGGAGTCTCCTCACGTTGTATACGTTTAATTATTTTTCCGCTGACGGTAGGCCATCGCCCGGCTACGCCAAGTCTGTCGTCATTTTATGGAGCTCCTCGGCTCCTCCACCTGCGAAACTCCTCGCATCGCATCCTCCTGCTGGCAATGACATTAACTGCGTCCGTTCGCAACCCAGAAGAAACTACAATTGCGGTCACAACAATAGTTATGGATTTTTATGTTTAAATATGACATGAAAAGATGATCCCATAATTTTGAATACGCAAAAAATTGAATTAAAAACACAAATTGTGCAGTGCTTAACCCTTGATCAGTTATTTTTTAGTACACTTTATTTTAGTCGAAAGTCATTTTTCAACAATATTAATTTTAATTGAAGATTTACTAGCCCAAAGTTAATTAATATAAGTTAAAATAGGTAAATCAAAAAAGGTATATTAATGTAACAAAACTGCATTTTTTCGATCGCAAGTGTCTGTATCGGAAACTGTAAGCTAGGAACACTTAAATTTTAGAGGCGGCTTTCATTTCATTAGCATGCGATGACAAAGCCGAGAACTTCGCCTTCTGGAAGTTAAGTGAACTATAGTAAAGCCATAGGTACAGCATTCTGTTGTTTCCTGCTGGATGCACTAATTTTGTGCCGAATGCCTCAGCAGTCCGTGTCATTTGGCTGACATTTCACCTGCTGCTGCTACTGCTGCCACAGACAATGATTAATCGTACAACAGTGCGTGTTCCAAATATAGTATATGCCACCTACATATGTATAAATGGACTCCAAAAAGTCACAAAACTTTCCGTAGGCTTTAAGAGCGCGAGACACATTAATCAAAGGCAAAGTAGCAGTAGCTGCGGCAACAGCGACAAGCTATTAGCAACACATTTGTCTTACGAACATTGGAAATGACTTTGCCGCTACACAGAGAAAAATATTTTAAAAATATTAAAGGTTATAAAAATACCTTTCATTTGCGACTTAAATGGTTCAAATTTCAAAAAAAAAAACAAATCGAAACAGCTAACATATTTTTAGAAACTCAAGAGACTTATGAAGATATAAGCAAGTTAAAATATAATTTAATTGGAAACCAATGTTATACTTTTCCTTTTCATCTAGATAGACTTTCAAATTATTAGAAAAATAATTTGAGAAGTAAGAGTGGTTAGGCTCTGAAGCAATTGCCAAGTGCAATACTCCTAGTAAGGCAATTGAAATAAGATGACTTTGTTAAAATTGTTCTCAGTGCAGGTTTGTAGGTTGGGTGTGAAATTCCATTTGTGCCGCACGCACAATGGAATGCGACCCAAGTTGCCGAAGCTGCAACACATGCGGTTACAAATTAGTCAATAGTGTGTTGCTATGTCCTCGGCTCCAGAGCTCATTAAGGTCCTTTTGGACCTCCTGGAGAGCCATATCAGTATATGTGTGTGTGTGTGTGCCAATGCTGCGGTCGCCGGCCGAGTTGCCAATTTGTATAAATTAAGCCTGCGGCATGCATAAATTAACCAACGACACACACCGCCTCTTTTGGCTAAGAAACGGATGCTCGGCAGATCTCTTAAATCTAAGCAGCGGAAAAGCGAAAAGTTTTCAATTTGCTGAGCAAACTTTGGACGCGGCATCAATGTCAAGCCGAAAAGACACCAAATATCTTTTAATTTATTTATAAATTCATTGAGGTATGCGAAGTATTTCGCCCTTCTTTTTGGGGCTGGCAAGCTGCCAGATCATCCTTAGTCGGGCACACCTGCTACACTCAGAAAATAGCAGGTAATAACTATTGAAAAGTTAAAAAAATGTTTTATAGCTATTTTTAAGAAACATTATCCACACATAATAACTCTTTTTAGTAAAGGATAATTATTTTTGATAACCACAGAGAACAGTGATTGCTTTTACTATGAATTTAGTTTGTCATAAACGATATTTTTCAAATAATATAAGTAAATGTATAAATAAAATTAGGTTTTCTTCGAAAAAAAGAAGTAATAAAGGTATCAAAGGGTCTTCTTTACGTGCTTTTTCTTGAGCAAACAATTTATTCTTTGAGTGTATCTGCGCGACACACGCATCATTTAACCTGCGAGTAATTCCCGTAGACAAGGCCAAAAAGGGGATGGTTGCGAATAGGAAACACATCCAAATACTGGAGCCCACTCCAAAAACCCGAAAAACAGGCCGTGGCACTCGCAACTTATGTTGCGTGACAGTGACAACTTGACAATGCCACAGACAACGTTCCGCTTTACATGACAGGTCAGAGTTTTTGGGTGAAACTTTTACGCGGCGTTTTTAATTTCGAATTTTTGAGTTTTCCACCGGAACTTTTGTGCCAGCCAAAGTTTCTGGCCTAGCTGGCTCGTTCTTTAAACGACTTAATCTCTTGCAGCTCCCACGGGCAAACCCATTCCGACAACGGCTCATAATACGTCCTCCACGTCGGTTTATATCTCGTGGAAAGCCCCTCCTCCGGATACCATACTAGGCGAGTTCCTAGGCTACCGCATCACATATCGACCACGCGATAGGGACCCCAACGATACCAAGGAAATCTATATCCGCGACAACACAGTGGAGGTGAGTAACGCTTTTATTCCTAGTCGTATTTAGTTGTTCAGGCCAAAGATAATTGAATTTCACGATTTCTGACACTCTGCCATATTGCAAACAAAAGACTCAGGTTGCAGTGCAGTTAGAAAAAATGGATAAAATCTTTAATCAATTTTGGTGGACAACGATTGACTATCTCGTTTTTGAGTTTGTTCTTTTCTTCATTACTACACGACAACAAAATATTGTAAATATTATTATTATTATTATTAAATATTATATTAGTAAGTAGATATGATTTATTTTTAAATTAAAAAACTCTGTTATTCTTTTGGACTCTTTTATGTAATCGTATTGCTTTTTTACTCATAAACATAATTAATAGAAATATTTCCACACCCACAATTGCTGGGAGCCCTTCAAAAATCTCTGATGAATAACCTCTTTAATAATTTGATGTAATTGTATTTTTATAAAACTAAATTTTTTAGAATGTCCTTGGAATGCTATCCTTTGAGACAAAGAATTTATTTTCAGTGCCGCAATAGAGGGAAACATTCCGTGTCCCGCCTGCAGCGTCATTCAATTTCGTTTTGGTTTCGGTTCGTGTCTGTCTGCTATGCCACGTGCATATCATTTTCTTTGCCACAAAAACTCGAGGATTTCTATTTCGATACCGAATGCCAGTGTTTCGGCTTCAAGTTGGTCTAAAAATGTGTGATTTCACCCTGTCATTCGCCGGCTTAAAGTCACATCAGCGGCGTATTAAAAAGTAATTTACACCTGGCGACAAGCAAAACATTTCCCACACACCTAGATGCGAGGTTACAAGTGTTTTTCTTTGGCCACCTGTCAAGGTGTTTCCATATCTCGTTTGGGGACCCCGCTATCAGTGGCAATTTGTTAACGATTAGTCCTCAGCTGGGGCCAGTTGTGCTACTTGTCTAGGCCGAAACAGTGGGTGTGTTTTTCCATCTCCACGGGTCCCTTTTGTGTGCGGATAGTTGGGCACGCAAGCTGGCTAATGAACTACGCGAGTGGGGGAATGTTGGAAAAATGGGGGCGAACCCAGAACAAATAACTTGGGAATACCTTTCAATAACACAAAAGTGGCTAAAAGCAAAACAAACGTTTCATATTATTTTTATAAATAACTTTGTGCATTTGACAAATGGTTAAGACCTTTTTAAGGGTATATTAAGACATAGCGTTTTTTATCTAAATTAGGGCAGCTAATAATTAGTTTCATTTAGTTTTGCCATGTGCAATGACTGATATCAACTTTTGATATCAATAAACCATTTTCATCGTGTAATAAATTAAAGTACTGTTATTTAAATAATGTTCTGATAATCATTAAAAACTTATCTGTATCTCTTTAATTTTCCCTACTTCGCAGTTTTTAATTGCCATCGCATGATTTTGGATAGATTATAATCCACCACCGGGAATTTGGAGAACCGCTGGTCATCTCTGGGGCTCTTTGAGCCAAATGCTGAACCAGAGCGTTGGGAATGCATTTCTGAATTTGCAGCTGCATTCCGGATGCATTTGCCAGCTAAAATATGCAGAAATTATTAACGATAATGCTCACGTACGACACTCGGCGCGGTGGAGTGCCCGAAAAAATTGAAGTGAGAGGCTGGAGGTGGGTTCCAAATAGGAGGACGCTTGATTGCCACAAGCACGGCACGCTTTTGTGCTCGAGTGCATATTTTGTCCTTATCTAGACGCAGCTCCCTGTCCCTGTCTTCATCTCCTGTATTTTTCTCTCTTTTGCATGTCGCTGGCATGTTGAAATATTATCCTTGCAGGCAGAAACGTGCGACTTTAGGTTTATTTCTTTTTAAAGCAAGACTAAGAGCACGGAAAAAAATATAATATTTTTTCAGTCAGGACTAACATTTTTGATTTCATCAAAAATATTCAATGCACATTTATCTTAGCAACTTGAAATCTTAAATTCTTAGCTTAGAACCCTTACTTCGTAATATTTACACTACAATAAACCCATTTAACGTTTAACGCTTTGGTTGAATATAAGAAAAACACCTTCTTATCATGAATCAAATTTATATTAAAAATGTTTTTTAAAAATGCATTGGAAACATACAAAATAATTTAAAATTGATGATTAAAGAATGAACTTAATGAAAAGTTTTTTCACATAAAGAAAACTGGTTTATTGTTTGCTATCAGAACAGCAAACAACCATTTCTGAATTTGAACTATCCATTCTAAATTAATTATTTAATATTCAAGGCAGCAGCTTAAATTGAAAACTCTCTTTTCTCAAAGTGTATGTATTTTTGTGCTCAAGTCATTTTGGTGGACTCCAGGACATGGCTTTCTGTTATTCCCATATCGCAGCATCAGCATTCAGGAGCCTGCGGCTTCTGCCGACCCGCCACGCCCCTTTTCGGACTACCGCCTCCTTTGGCTAGCGGCATTCACATTGAGCTGTCACGTGTGTGGTGGAAAAGCGGGGGCGGAGGATTTTTCCAGCTTCGCCTGCTGGCTAAATTTGCCAATTTTCTAATTAAAATTTCTGCGCCGTAAAGCATAAATTTCGCAACTTTTACGCAGATAAAAGCCGGCAAGTCGAGTCACACGGACACTGATATTGTTGAGGTACCAGAGAAAAAACAGTGTAGTTAAAACAGCGAGCTCAGTTAGAAAAATTGTGGAGTTTTTTGAAGGCATCGGGATTTGTTTGACAAGCCAAATTTACATCTGTTTGTAGTTCCATCCTTTTTTGCTACCATCCAAAACCTTTCTTTGTTACCAGTTGAGCCATCATCCACTGGCACTAATTAATGCAAAAGGGTGGGGTGAGAATATTTAGATGCTTATCCCCCTGCTTCACACTTTCCAAAGTTATGCAATATGGCCGGAAGTTGGGAACTTTATCAATTACATTATATCAATTACGTGGCCCGCCCTTGGGCAGCTCCAACTTTCGGCTGACCATAAAAATAAAAGCAGTTGTAAATTTTCGGCCTCATTTACTGGCGACTAAATAAAAGAGAATTATATCACCGCCCACCATATAGAAACACTAAATCCACGCGCTTGGTCTTATGTATACAGTTATAAATACAGCAGTGGTTATAATAATACTAGCTGAGCTTTGTTTTCTAAGTTTTTTTTTTCCTAAAAAAATTAATTTAATTTAAGGTTTCAAAAATATGCCAAATTTTTTAAATACTAAAGATTATCCTAGGATTTTGACGAAATTCAGAGGCGGTCTCTTAGGCGCTAGTGTTTTGACCGCAGCTGTAAAAGGATGCCGGGCGAGAAAGATATCACGCTTCTGGTGGAAATAGCTGCGATTGTGGCTGGCGCCGTCTGAAAAGCCCAAAGCAGCCACTTAAGCTGTTCGCATGGCAGTCAATCCGCTGCTAAGCACAAGCCTAAAGTTCGTATAGTCGAAAACCCGTTGGTTTTGCGGTGGAACCGCAGACGAACACAGATACACACGCACACATGCCAGCAGGCAAATTCAGGAAGGCAGCGCTCTAATGTATGCTACATAATTTGCACAAGGCAGCTGACCATTTGCAAGTGTGCCGAATGTGTGTAGTGCTTTAGGCAGAGAACCACTCTAAGTCTGTGGCTTGTTTTATGGTTTGGCACTGCTTTTGACCTTTGGTTAAACCTTAATCAGTCGCTCGCGAAATTCATGGACAAAGCCAGCGAAACGGACTCACTTGTGGCAAGTCCTTGGCGTACAGATTAGTAAATAAAATCTGTTCAGACATAGTTTTTGGTTATAGATATAATTGTTAAGTTAATTAATTTTATTTTAGAAATTCAGAGGCGGATTTAGAAGAATTCTTCAACTATTTAATTTAACACTCTCTTATGCTCTTTCCTAAATGTTAATTCCTTCAGTATTTTTACAATGTTTTTTCAAATATACATTTCGTGTCTGGTATACATTCCACTTTTGTTTTTCTTTTTTTTTTACATGTATTTTCGTGTTCTTTTTTACTGTGTGATGTGGCAATTAAGGCAAAGACTACTGCTCGTTGCCCAAGCAACTCAATTTCCTTTTGCACCGACATCGCAGCACTGCAAATCAATTTTAAGTGCTGCAATTTTCATATTTGCCAACGGCAACGCACAAAAGTATGCAACGCGCAATTTCCGCTTCAAGCATGCACAATGGAATGGAAAGGGGCACGGGTGGTTCAGGGGGTGGGGGTCCTGCTGCTGCCGAGAAGCACTTGGTGGAAGTGCTCCACTTTATTTTGTTATGCGCCTTCGACGGCCAACAAATGAAAAGTCTTTTGGTGTGTGTGCAGAGCAAAAAAATTCAAATATTCTTCCTTAATTCGTATTTTTTTTAGAAGAAAAAGAAGTTACCATCAAAAACTAAAATAAATTAAACATGTGTAGAGATTTTTCAAGAAAAAGACTACTGAAGAAATTGTTTTAACCTTTTGACAAAGAGCATTTTATCTATATATTATGATTGATGTATGTAACATAAGAAAATTGTATTTTTGTTAAAAAAAAAGGAATTACCCAGTTTTAAAACTCAGGGAATAATTTGAAATATATTCTTTTCTATATATTAAATTTTCTCGTAGTTAATGTTAGATCTAGATTTATAAGTTCTTGCCATATTTTATTTTTGTGTACGTCTTGTGTTTGCATATTAAAGCGGCAATGAAACTGATTTTTCGAAAAATGTCCCCTTTCTCTTGCAGAGCCATGAGATACAGAATCTGCAGACGTACACGCAGTACAAAGTGACGGTGCAGGTGTTCAATCCCGAGGGTCTGGGACCGGAGACAACCATTCTTGTGATGACCGATGAAGGAGGTGAGTGCCGACCCCATTTGCTGGGGAAATGCAATGCAAATTCCCCGGATTCCCCACATAATCAATGATGCATGTCGCATAGTGCTTGCCCCAGGGAATTCTGTCTGTCAGGCATCCAAACGATGGCCATAAGTCAATAAGTCGATCGACCAACTATTTTTCACATATCCCGGAACCGCAAAATTCCAAATATTACTGCTTATTGACATGCCAGACAACTGACCAACCCCCCAAATGCCAAAAAAGAAAGTTATATTGTATATCGCATATCATATGCAATACAAGATGCAGATGCAGCAGCGTCAGAAACAAATTCGCCTTTGTGTGCACTTTTAGTCTTTCTCCCCTTCCAATTTTCATGGATGCGAGGGCAAAGCAAAGCAACTTTGAGATTCGCTCAACCACAAAATGCCTCCGCCATGCAATGAAGCAAACAAATAAAAGTTTAACTCCAGACCAGAGGCTAAGGAAAATATGTTGCAATTTTTCATATTTCCCACCCATTCCCCGGTATTTTTCAGCTTTTCTCGACAGCTCGGAATCCGCTGCAGACCGCAGTCGGTATACAAACTGTATTGAAATGGATGAATACTCTCCCAAACAAATAGAAATACAAAATAAATATTGCTTACTTAAACTTTTGCCATATGCTGCTCAGTCAGCAACAAAAACTGCCCAGGCATGTCCTTTCTATTTTGGGTTTTTTCCTTTTTCATACCCCTTATTTTGTGAGGTGTTTTGGGGATATATTGCTATGAACAGAACATTTGTGATAGGGATATACAAATAATGTGCTCCAAACACGACTAGTATTTTAAATGTTATATTTATATACAGTTTTATTATTGATTTTGATCAAAACCAAAAATATCTTTTAGTTTATGGGTACTGCTAATATTGGCTAACAATATTGACAAGACATTAGGAAAAATAAGTTTAAACTTTATTGTTTTTTTTTCGTTTTGTCAATATTTCATTAGCCTTAAATTTTTTTTATGTTTGAGGATAAGCCGTATGGCTTAATATCTAAGAATGTGATATAATAAATATAATAAACCTCTGAAAGCTTAAATAACTAATTATGATAGACGGGTATCAAATCGTTGCAATATCCGACAAATGGCGCTCCCTGCCGTATCCTTCTCTTTTTGTGCCCCATGGTTATATCCCCCGATTCCTGGACCGCCACGTGGATTTCCGCTGGCAGCGTTTCACTTGGTATCACCAGACGCCGCCGTTGGCGGAAGTGTTGATGCCATAGACGCCGGCCGGCTGAAGTCTGCGAAACGTAAATTATAAAGCAGTTGGCCATAAATAAATCGGGGCGGATAAAAAATTCCAACGTGTGCGTATTTATCGGGGTAGTAGGATGGGGGATTTAATTTCCTGCAGTCAGCTCAAATCTGTTTGCATAAGCGCACGCTGAGATGTCTTGGCCAAATATTGTGCTCAGCTCGGGAAGTTTTTAAGCGCGCTAAGACTCGAAACTCTTTTGAAAGTTGCCCAAGAGCTTAGCGGCATAATTAGCATAAAATTCAGCGGAAAATCCTTTGCCGGTATGAGGAAGGGAATGGCCGGAAACCGAATAAAATCAGATTCGATAAAAACGAAAATACGCTGGCACTCCCCTATGGATTTGGCTCCCATTGAGTGCGGGTATAAGCTGCTTTCACTGAGAGCGAAAATATAACTCTGGATTTTTGCGACAGCTGGCATAACTCAGTAATTTCCGAATTTTCCACGTTCTTTTCCATTTTTGTTTGGGATGTGCCAAGGTAACCTGGCAGGTGCAGACGGGCGGATCTTTCTGGGGATTTGCAGCGGCTTAGGCAGCAACTTTAGCCAAGGCCAAGACCCAGCTGCTTCGCGCTCTGGGCCTAATAGAATTCTGCCAATTTCGAGTGGGCGTGGCCCATGCGCGTGGCAGTTGATTAATTACCCTCGAATATTTGCCGCAGCACAGCCGCAAATAGCCGGCCAAAACAAAGCCCGAATTCCTGCACTCAAGAAAAGCATTTGACAAGTTTTTTAATGCTCAACTAATTTAATATAGGTGCATAAAATGTATATAAAAGTATCTAGAAAAAAGTTAATTAAACAATTATCGTGAAGTTATATTTGGTAAATATCAATAAGAATGATTTAAACTCTGAGACAAAAAAAGATTGTATTTTCGATAGATTTCTTAAAGAATGTTAGTTATTAAGCATTTATTTCAAAGTGATTTATTTAAATTGGATATTTAAATTTTTAACTTGAATTTGATTGAGTTTTCAACCAAACAAAAAGTAACCGAAGAACTCTGCAACACGACCACATGCGGTGAAAATTATGAAGCCTTGCAGTGCGGCTTAGCAGCGGGTCAGGGATCTATGAAATCCGGCAGTTCTTTGGAGCAGAGCGGTTCTCCACCCAGATAATGTCCTCAGAAGAAACTCAACGATTGCAAAACAATTCTAGGGCTTCGCCGGCTTTGCACTCCGAACTCGACAGGCCGTCTTTGATTAGATATTTTCCACTTTCCTTCTTCGGCCTGCGCCTTTGTTATTGCGTTTTAACTTCTGACATTGGCCGGGGCTTAGAGGTCTTGTCTTCCTCGCTTTTGCCGGCACGCACTTGGATTTCCTTTGGCCAAGACTGGGAGCTTGTGGCCGAGAATAGAGTTTTTTTGTTGTGTTCCCCGACTGCAGTGCAGACAGCTCAAGGGGCGTTATTCTGCCAGACCCCCAAACACTTGTCGCTTTCGAGAGCGACAGAAAGACAGACGGACAATCGTAATGGCTTTGTGCCCTGTTTCTTGATAACTTCGTTTCGTTTCATTTGTGTGTACGTGGCAACACTTGATGGTCTTGGCAACTTTTGACTTTAACGCGTCCTGTTACCTCGAGCATTGGTCCTCTGACACGGCCTTTTGCACCTTAAGCAGCAGGTCACGGGGTTCAGATCATCGGATTAAGTGAACTGGTTAAGACTGGAGCAACTCGAGCAGTATGCAATTTAATTTGTCTGCTTCTCGAGGGCGTCTGGCGACTGGCTCTTTAAAATCAAATTTATAAATCAAACAACCTGCAGCTCCTTGAAAATGACTTTGAGCGCCATTTTTCTCTTTCGTCCAAAATGCAAAATCAACGCAGCCAAAACAAACGCTCCATTAGACTCGTTGTTAGGGATAACTGAAGCAGAAAGGTACCACACTTGGAAAAATAAAGGAATCTGTTTCAAGGGCCATCGCATTAAAGTCTATATCTTGAGACATAAAATATGAACCCTTTTAAAACCCTTTTAAATGAGGACTTAAGCTAAATACTTTCGGGACTAAATATCTATCTGGGTTAGAGCATTTATTAATTATTAGTGTTAGGGTCGAGTGCCATGACTATTAAATATCCGTTTCTCTGTTAATTAATTTAAAATCAAATATGCTCCGAACAGATGGCGCCACTTGCAACTCTGTTGGCAAGGTAATTTTATTTGCTGCCACTAATAACTATTGAAATAATTGGTCGTCTTGTAAATTTATTGATATAATAAACATAAAATTATACCAGTCAAGCAAACAGGTAAAGCGCATTTTCAATGTAATCTTTAGACATTAAATTTTGGAATGTAAAATAGCAGTGCACTCGTAGCGAGTATATCCCTAAACTCTCCCCAGCAATTTATCACCGCCCGTTTGTCAACGTCCTAGGGGTGTGGCACATAGCTGCTCTTACTTCTGCTGCATCCAAGAAAATTAATAGACACACGCACAGATCCACCTGGTAAGACCAAAAAAAAATCGCACTTGCATTTGAGGAAATGTTGCCACTCATTTCGAGTGGGGAAACTAAAGTAAATGGAAAATGGGAAATCCATTTGCAGAGAGCGCGGACTGTCAAAAGCTTGTGGCCGTCTAACCAGGATCCAGAATCCACCGGCGACTAAGTTTTGCAGCGGGCCCTCAACTTGCAGCTACAAAATTAATTACCTTTGGCTACTTTCAACTAGCTGCGGTTCGGGTTCAGCCGTTTGCATGCACTGAAAACCCCCGTGGAAACCAACCCCGCCTCCTTTTGGAAAAACACCGCCCACCTCTAAAAGATGGTTCAGTGCATCCGCTGACTGCTTTTAAAGCGCCAGCCGCAAAGCACGGAAAAAACACACAGATAGTGGAGTATAACCCAAAAGTCTGGGCACAAGTTTCCTTCGTAGAAAACTGCGGGCGGCTGGTTGGCGGAAGTGACAAGCTGCACTTTTGGGGTGATGGAAAGCGGGGGGGATGGAAAATTTAGCCACAGCAACAACAACGAGAGCAGATAAAACACTAGGGAACAAACTTTTCTTGGCCACCATGAATAGTTAATACACTCGCAGGTGATCTAATTGAGTAGGGATTTTATCGAAAATGGGGTGCCTTTTGTAAGATAACTGGGTCATTTTATACTTATGTTAGATATACAATTTTGTTTATGAATTTTTTGAGTCTTTAGTAAAAGTTTTTCAAATAGATACAATAAATTCAGTATGAAAGTAAATAAATTAAAAATCCTTTAAAAGCAATCAAATCAGAATCAACAATTGAATTAAGACAATAAGTGAGCGAACATTTAAGCCTTCAAAATTAAGCCCATAAAAAATACTTTGATGCTTTATTTATTTGGCAAATAAACATCGAAATCATAAGTTATATGTGTGAACTGGTAAAGGTTATTGTAAAAATATTAATATTGAGTGGCAATTTCTAAAACAAAGTAATCGAAATGATTAAATTATTTAATAAATGGTAATGGCTAAATAGCCACTAAAAATTAATATTTATAATGTTATCTTAAAAATCGCAGTATGCAAATTCAAGGGTTAACCCTTTTCGGCCAAACCTTTTTGTGAAGGAAGGGTAGTAAGATGCCCGCAGCAAACAGCGGTAAGACAGTCGGGAGTATTAAAGAAAAGGGCGGGAAAAGGGGAGGGCGGAAAGTACCAGAAGGACGAACCAGCAGCAGGATAAGGTACAACGTGAAAAG